GCTGCGGACCCTGGGGGTGGCGCTGCTGCTGGTGCTGAGGACCCGGACGTGGGAGCTGCTGCTGGTGCTGCGGACCCGCCTGGTGGAGCTGCTGCTGGTGCTGAGGACTCGGACGTTGGCGCTGCTGCTGCTGCTGAGGACCCGGGCGTTGGAGCTACTACTGGTGCTGAGGACCCGGCCGGTGGAGCTGCTGCTGGTGCTGTGGACCCGGACGCTGGAGCTCCTACTGGTACTGAGGACCCGGCCGCTGGAGTCTCCTCTGCTTCTGGAGACGCTGCGCGGCCGCGACCGTACTTCGTACCGCTCCTTCAGCAGGTTCTTGGGCAGGCTCCTCCTCCTTGTCCTCCTCCCTCCGTAGAGTGTCCTCCGCCTGTCCAGCCGCAGTCACAGTTACCGCCTACCTCGCCTCTCCCTGCTCCCTCTCCTTACACTGGTCCCACAGGAGGTCTTACAGAGCGTCGTGAGCCTGAGTCTCGTCCTGCGTCGCCTGTTCGTCCTGCTCGCACTGGTAGTCGTGTCCGTCGTGAGCGTCCTCCTCCTGTCCCAGGCACTCACTACATGACTCTGCGTCCCTCTACTGCTCCTCAGCGTGTCCCTCTACCGTCTCCTCCTGCGTCCTCTTTGCCTGACGTTCCGGACCCTGAGTCTGACCGGTATCGTGCTGAGCACCCTACTGTCATGCGTCTCCTCGCTACTGTTGTCACTGACCCTACCTTTGAGTCCTCGGCTGCGTCTGCTCTGGTCGCTGAGTTGGTTGACTTTGCTGCTGCCTGTCGTCTAGACTACGCTGCTAGCCTTGTTGCTGAGTCTGAGTCTGAGTCTGTCTGTCCTCCGTCCGTCGGGGGTGAGTGTGCTCTTGGCACGGACGTCCTTGAGGACAGACAGGAGGAGTTCCAGTGTCTTGCTGCTGCTTTGCCCCGTCTCGTGTCCTTGCTAGTTGCCCCTGAGGGAGACCCGGATGCACCAGACATCCCGACCCCGCGCACTTACGCTGAGGCGATGGCGGGTCCCTACTCCTCTCAGTGGCAGACAGCCATGGACGCCGAGATGGCTTCCTGGAAGTCCACACGCACCTACGTCGACGAGGTTCCCCCTCCTGGGGCGAACATCGTCAGTGGCATGTGGATTTTCAGGGTGAAGCGGCCGCCGGGTTCTCCGCCTGTCTTCAAGGCGCGTTACGTGGCTCGAGGCTTCAGTCAGCGAGAGGGAGTTGACTTCTTCCAGACCTTCTCCCCCACCCCGAAGATGACTACTCTTCGGGTGCTGCTGCACATAGCCGCTCACCGCGACTACGAGCTTCACTCACTTGACTTCAGCACTGCTTTCTTGCAGGGCAGCCTGCACGAGGAGATCTGGCTGCGCCGCCCACCTGGCTTCACTGGGTCGTTTCCTCCTGGTACCCAGTGGAGGCTTCAGCGGCCGGTCTACGGTCTCCGCCAGGCTCCGCGTGAGTGGCACGACACACTGAGGACTACACTTGCGGCTCTTGGGTTCGCGCCTTCTACAGCTGACCCGTCGCTGTTCCTGCGCACCGACACTTCGCTGCCGCCGTTCTACATCCTCGTGTACGTCGACGACTTGGTCTTTGCCACTGCTGACACTGCAGGACTCGCCTACGTGAAGTCGGAGCTGCAGAGGAGACACACGTGCACAGACCTGGGTGAGCTGACAAGCTATCTTGGCTTGCGGATCACCCGGGACAGAGCACGGCGCACCATCACCCTGACTCAGTCACACATGGTGCAGCAGGTTCTCCAGCGCTTCCGCTTCACGTACTCCTCGCCTCAGTCCACTCCTCTGCCTACCAGTCACTCGCTCTCAGCTCTGCCTTCGGATGAGTCCGTAGAGCCGAGTGGCCCGTATCCAGAGCTTGTGGGCTGCCTCATGTACCTGATGACCTGCACTCGACCTGACCTTGCATACCCTCTTAGCATCCTTGCACGCTATGTCGCTCCTGGCCGTCACAGGAAGGAGCACATGGATGCCGCTAAGAGGGTGTTGCGCTACTTGTGCAGTACGTCGGGCATGGGGCTTGTGCTTGGAGGGCGAGACCGAGTTGTTCTCACAGGGCACTCAGACGCTTCTTGGGCAGACGACCAGGCCACTCAACGGTCGTCTCAGGGTTACACCTTCAGCCTTGGCTCTGGCTCAGTTTCTTGGCGCTCTACACGCTCTTCTTCTGTTCTCGGCTCCAGTTGCGAGGCTGAGATCTATGCTACAGCCATGGCTGCCCAGGAGCTACGCTGGCTGACCTACCTGCTGACCGACCTCGGAGAGCGGCCTCGTTCTCCTCCAGTACTGTACGTCGACAACAAGGCTGCCATTGCCTTGTGTGAGGAGCACAGACTGGAGCACAGAACGAAGCACATCGCCATGCGGTACTTCCTTGCTCGAGAGCTGCAGCAGCGCGGTCAGCTTTGTATTCGCTACGTGGCCACTGAGGCCAACACTGCTGATGTGTTCACCAAGGCGCTTCAGCCTCGTGACCATCAGCGCTTTTGCACTCTACTAGGCCTTGTGCCTACTGGACCTCACTTGCTTACCTCTTGACTTTGCTTGTACTGTGATCACTATATATATCTATACCTGCATGTTTACTCTTGCTAGGTTGTGATCACTGTATCTCTTGCTCTGTTATAAACTTGCATGTGAACTGGTCTTGTGACCACTAGCTTGTGCTCGGAATTTGTGTGGAATCCTTGAGATCCACCCTGAGCTTGTTGTTGCCTTGCTTTGCCTTGACTGGTCTTGTGACCCCTAGGTCTCCCCCACTTTGCCTATGGGGGTGTGTCAAACATTATACATGTTGTATTTGTGTAGGCTGTAGTGGGTTAGCCTATAGGGGGGGTCACAACATTAGGGTTTCATATTTGTACTCACAATCCTTGCTAGTCCATCATTCCTGCCTGTTCATTCTGACAACTGCCCCTCTTGCCTCCAAGAAAATAGAATTCGTGCAGAGGGGCTACTAGGCCACAAAATAACTCCTTTATTCGCCTCTAAGAAAAAATATTTCGGGCCGTTTGAGGATGTTTTCCCCGCTAAAAATGCCGATTATGACTTTTCTTTGGGTTAACCCTTCGAGGTTTAACTCCGAGTAAGCCAGAAGTAATCCACCAAAATGCTGGAGTTGTGGGAGGCCTAACTCGGAGTAAACTTTGCCCGTGTATGAATCATCCCGTAGGCTTCCGTCGAGTCGTACTCCGAGTAACCCTAACTCCGATCGTTTGCCCCTTTTTTGCTTACTCGGAGTAAGCCACGTAGGTGTGATTGTATCCGACACACGTGTGAAGGGGGAGTTAGTGAGCCCCCTCGAAGCCCACTAACTCGGAGTAAGGGGGCTACCGATCAGGGCCCTGGTGTCATTTTGCTTGTCCAATCACGTCGGCCAAAAGGATACACGAATGAGGAATTCAGTAAGGGAGTGTTACATTTTTTACTCTCGCCCGTCCGGACGGGCCTCTGTCCGGACATTTTTCTGGTTACCTTTTTCGTGAAAAACTCGTTTGAGAGCCCGCGAGTACCATGGCGACGTTGTTAGTGATCGGACTTCGGGTGGAACATTTCGCATCATTTGCCATTCCAAGTCGTCCGGACGATTACGGTTTGATAAACGGACGGACGTAACAGTAACGCGATTTCACTGGCGCACAAATACAATTTTCCGAGTCGCTTGATAGTTTCCAAAGTCGCTACAGCGTCGTAGCCATGGTTACGTTTTCGCTTGTCGCTGATATCAAAATGTTTCAGAAACAGCGTGCGCATCGCGGAAAAGGCAAAGGCCAAAAGTCACGAAAATGTGACATTTTCGTCACATTTTCGTATACGGATTTTTGGGGTAAAAAGGTGATGGATGAAAGTGCCGAAGCCACCGTCACTTCCAAAGTGACGGCGATGTCACGGAAAGTAAAAGCTTCCCCCGCGTCCCAACCACTGTCATTGCTCAGTCACATGCAAGTCACGCACAGGTCACCACGGGGATTACTCGGTGGGGTGAATAACAAATGCCACAATTAGAGACAATCTTACGAGAACCACACACGTGGCGACCTTGACGTCAGCGTGACATACCGTCAGTTACAGTACTCGTACAGTACAAAGCGCCTCGAGGCATAGTCCTATCCAACCAACTGCCTTCACGTGTACACCCACGATCAACCTGGAATTGCATCCACACCCTTCGTTTTCATCCTATGTGACCAATGCCCACGCGCCATCCCATGATATCACCCGATCCCCATTGGTCGACTCTTAACACAACATATCGCCATCCCACTACGTGGATACGGCGGATGCCGTTGAATTAGGTACCAGGTGTACGGCTGTAAATATGTCTCGATCTCTGCATGTGTAAGCTACCTGTGCATCCGACCGTCCACGTACACACGCATCGACGACATGTCGCGGTCGCTATCGCCAGCAGGATCTCACCATTGTTGACGTGTGATTACTCTCGTCCGTTGATGTAGGCCCACGTGGCCATAGTACACGTTACACGGAGCCACCGATGCTGGCCCATATGTCCCGCCCTCAACCGTCTACCACACCATCATCCAGCGGTTCACATGCCTGCCAATGCACTTGCATCTACGGCTCCAGTAGGCATAGGGCACGCACGGCCCCACGATAGGGTGGGTTGGACCGTCACGAACCGAATCGCGGTCACTGTCTACCCGCATCCAACGGCACACATCCGAGCCGTAATTGTCTGCCTCATTATACATTCCGCAGGCTGGTTGACTGGTTATGTTCTCCGCATGCTAATGAATACCCGTGATAAATCGTCCAGGCTCGCTTGTTCCGTCAAACAGACACGCAATAAACATTACACGCTAGAATGCGCGGGGGAAGCCGTACCAAACCCCCTTGGCAATGGCCGCCACGCACGGCCCACCATCGTTCCCTTACAACGCCACCACACATGCATTAGACGTATGGTTTAGCCACAATTTATTGCACCCGCTTACGATGCCACGCATCGCCTCCTGTTGTTCCCCCGATTAGGCCTGCGGAGTACCGCGGCTGACGCTTGCCTCCGCGGTCACTGCTTCGACGGCAGCGATGCCGTCGGCCGAGATGCGGAGACCATGGCGGCCCCACTCCCAGCTCTGGGACGCCTCGTCATAGGCTGGTCGGAAATCCGCAATGGCGGCCCTAACAGCAGCCTTGATGAGGACGTGGAGGCCGTCCACGATCTGCGCGTTGGTGCTCGCGGAGTTGGCGAAGCGACCCTGGCGCGCCTCCCAGTGATTGACCGCATCTGTCACCTGCGCACCGCAAACCACGTACAAGCGCACGTGAGGACACTCGCCCAGGTACTTTAAGTCGTCTAAATGACCACGGTGTTTGCGTACCACGTGCTCCATCCATGCTACGTGGTAGAGCTTCAGTGTCACAGTCCCGTTGACCATCCTTGGCTTGAACACCGCATGTGCGCAGGCCGTAAACGCCCCAGATGCAAACGGCATCCCTTCACGGGAGCAACTCCAGCTAGACAGCCGCAGCTTCCCTGCCACGTAAGGCATAAACAAAGCGCGCATTAAATGACGGTTATCTATGCATATGTAATGCACTCCCTTACGCCCTTCTTATGGTAGCACCCCCTTACCCGCCGGTACGTCACCAAGGCCGACCCTATCTCGGATCCGGGAGAGGGTGCGCCTCGCCTTGGTCGCCCATGGACTCTTCATGTCTCGGTCGTGGCGAAAAAGTCCAATCTTCGGCAGCCCGATGTCGCGGACTCTCCCTGCCGCACCAGTCTTCCAGTCGCTGAACGACCTGTTCAGGTCGACCCGACGTGCCTTGCACGCCGCGAGAGTCACGCTTGCATAGCTTTCCGTCAGGTTATCCACGACTGCGCAGATGGCCCAAGTCTTGGCGGCAGTGCTGGGGTAGAACGTCAGCTGTGCGTTGGAGCGCCGAACGAACAGCTCGGTACGTGCCTGCTCACATAATTCCTGCCATGTAAGACCATACATTACGTCAGCAACCGCCACACGCGATCCCCTCTGTATACGGCACCCTCTCCCACACATGTTACCTTCCAGCCTTTGTCCGTCGGGAGTAGGTCGAGCGCCTCCTGCATAATGGCAGATGGGGAGTGTCGAAGGTGGCCCTCGTCCTCGTCGTCGAAGCCCCCCTCCTCATCGGACGCCGTCTCGGACGTGGAGCGTGCCCGCCGCGCCTTCCGGCGCTTTCCCTTGCCGGAGCCGCGCTTGCGCCTCCTCCTCTTCTTAGGGCTGCTGTCTTCCTTGGGCTTCGCAAGGAACGCCGTCTCCAACCTTGCGATCGCACGTGCCGTCTCTTCATGGAGCTCCCTTATGCTATGCAGCTCCTCACGCGTGACCGGTGCGTCATTGGGAGCACGCCCCGCGCCGGCGTCGTCCTCTTCTGCGTCGGCATCAGCATTGTTCTCCGCTTCCGCACCATCCTCGTCTTGAGTGTGGCCTGTGTTACGTCTGGGGAGAGCCACGTTTGGATCGTCGTCCGATGATGGCGCCGGAGGTGCGTCAGGTTCCCCGTCCACTCGTGCAGAGCCCTCGACGATGTCTTGAACAAGACGTTTGCGCCTGCGACCAGCCTTTCCACTGGATGCAGCTGTTCCGTCAACCTGCCGGCTCGACTGGGCAGATGAGGAACTACCTTCTGAAGTGCTCCCATGCGACATACGCGAGTCCGCCCGAGTCCCATGAGACGGTGTCGCGGCTGCATCTCACGCCACGAAACAAACAACGGAGTTAGGTGACAAGCGCAAAGCACATACGAGCATGCTGTGTATGAACGTAAAAGGCCGGGAAAGAATAGACGAAGCAGCAGACCCATTAGCAGTGCGTGACGCTCGTCACTCACGTGGCGGCGAGGGAGGACCCCTGGCTTGCTGCTCGTTGGCATGCTTCGAAACATCCAGACGAGGCTTCTTCGTCACCTTACGCCTAACGTTCCCAGGCAGAAGGTAAGAGTTCCGTAGGTCGGCAGGTGGCTGTGACACACGCTGACTCCTGCCCTCGCGTGACGACACGGTGAAACTGTCCATTGTGAACAAAAGTTGTGGGCAGGAATGACTCTGGCGGACACATTGTCCACTACTTACGCATTCTGAGTCCAAGCCAAGAGTGCGTCTGTGCTGTACCCCCACATTACACGTGGCGATTAATTGTCGGACAGGCTGCGGTCGTCATCTGGCGGGTTTTGCCCACATGGCTCAACCCTGACGCAAAGTTATCCACATATCTCGTTATAGAGTCGAACCATTTGTTGTTCCACACGTCACGACCAAAACAACAAATGCTACACAGTGTGTGAAGCTTGTAAAAGTCATCCTTGCGGTGCATATGTACTCTGACAATGGATGATATTCATTATGCGCCACTTCAAGACACTCACAGTGCATAATGGACTCTTTCACAACAGGAGACAGTACTACATATAGCATCACAAGTCACACATAGTACGATGCTTCCTATACAGGTCCAACGACACAAGGTCTGCCATCCGCACAGCCATCAGCCTCGACCAGTTTATGTGCGGTTCCAGTTCATGCATCCGTGGCACTACATATACACACTCCCTGTCCGTTGCGCCTACTCACACACCGTCTCCACATTATGACCCATCCTGTCTTGCACGTCTTCATCGCTGCTGCTGTTGTCCGGCGACCGAGTGCCATTGTTTTCCAGCGGCAATGGAGTACCAGGCTCAATGCCCAACTCTGCCAGCGCAAAGCACATACGAGCATGCTGTGTATGAACGTAAAAGGCCGGGAAAGAATAGACGAAGCAGCAGACCCATTAGCAGTGCGTGACGCTCGTCACTCACGTGGCGGCGAGGGAGGACCCCTGGCTTGCTGCTCGTTGGCATGCTTCGAAACATCCAGACGAGGCTTCTTCGTCACCTTACGCCTAACGTTCCCAGGCAGAAGGTAACAGTTCCGTAGGTCGGCAGGTGGCTGTGACACACGCTGACTCCTGCCCTCGCGTGACGATACGGTGAAACTGTCCATTGTGAACAAAAGTTGTGGGCAGGAATGACTCTGGCGGACACATTGTCCACTACTTACGCATTCTGAGTCCAAGCCAAGAGTGCGTCTGTGCTGTACCCCCACATTACACGTGGCGATTAATTGTCGGACAGGCTGCGGTCGTCATCTGGCGGGTTTTGCCCACATGGCTCAACCCTGACGCAAAGTTATCCACATATCTCGTTATAGAGTCGAGCCATTTGTTGTTCCACACGTCACGACCAAAACAACAAATGCTACACAGTGTGTGAAGCTTGTAAAAGTCATCCTTGCGGTGCATATGTACTCTGACAATGGATGATATTCATTATGCGCCACTTCAAGACACTCACAGTGCATAATGGACTCTTTCACAACAGGAGACAGTACTACATATAGCATCACAAGTCACACATAGTACGATGCTTCCTATACAGGTCCAACGATACAAGGTCTGCCATCCGCACAGCCATCAGCCTCGACCAGTTTATGTGCGGTTCCAGTTCATGCATCCGTGGCACTACATATACACACTCCCTGTCCGTTGCGCCTACTCACACACCGTCTCCACATTATGACCCATCCTGTCTTGCACGTCTTCATCGCTGCTGCTGTTGTCCGGCGACCGAGTGCCATTGTTTTCCAGCGGCAATGGAGTACCAGGCTCAATGCCCAACTCTGCCAGCGCTGTCCTCCACTGACGCCACCTCCACCACATCCGCGCCTTCACCAGATGACGCACGTCGCCGCGAACACACCCCATCAAAGACGCCTTCTCCTCGTCCGTCAGCTCCTTCATGTGTTGGATGTGGTCATTATGCCTGATCACAAAGGCCGCCGCGGCATACGCATACGCCGCATCGAGCTCAACAGTATACGCACCCAGCCTTATCTGCTGACTTGTGCCTTATCTGCTCCGCACACCATCTTAACCCCCCACTTTCGGCCGCGTGCGCACCAACTCACACCTGTCCAGCGACTGGATGCAGGCCGCCCACCGTACGCGGCAAGCATGCTGGTCGTGCACGGGCCGTCCTGCAGTCCTGATCCCCGGACGGAGGCGATACCTGGCAGAGCGCGAGACCGTCGGCGGTGCTGCCGGAGTCACGGGAGCGGCTGGGAGATCCTGCTCCTCCTTCTTGGGCCTGACATCAGCAGCTGTGGGCTCACTATTAATGGGGGACGCCCCCTCAAAATGCGCAGACGGGAACGATGGCAGCGGGAGCGGACATGGAGCCGGGTGGATGGTAATGCCGAGCGTCCGCATAGATGCTGCATGGTCCACGGGGTTCTTGGACGTGGACAGAGCCAGCAGAGGCGTCCCGTGTGCCTGAAGCTCGTGTGCCGCTCCACTCAGCAGTTGTTCCTCCGAAATGCCTAGCGAACGTGCCAGGCCCATGACAGCCGCACACACAACGTAACCCCCTAGCTCCATCCGGGTTATCATGCCTGACTGCCTTGCCAGGTCGGTGCGGACTTCGTCCTCCTTGGGAAAGACGAGGGCGCCGTGTTCTCCCACCTGGGGAAGAGGCTGCACGGGAACATCCACACCCTCCCCAAGCAGCTTGACAATAAGGTCACCTGTGGCGTGGAGGGACACCTCCTCACGTAGCTGGCGCCGGTAGGCGTGGGACTTCGCGCCGAAGAACGTCATCCACTCCTTGAGGATTGTAAAGCCGGTTGTAACCAGGGCGTAGAGATACATGCCAACATAAATCCCACAGTCGACCGCGTTCGACTGTTGTGGGATGCCTTCCGGCTGCCATGAAACACATAACATGAGGTGGCACGCGTCAGGTGACAGACTATCCAGGCTGTGCCCGCGACATGGCTGCGACATGAATTGCACTCGCATGCATTACGTGGACTTCGGCATACTTCAGGTGGTCCTCCGCCTGCTTTCAGTCGGCCGTGGGCAGCTGAGCTTTGTGCAGTAAGAGCAACATCCTGCAAATGAAGCGGTGGTCGTTAAATATGGCATCAACGGAATTTCGCCAGATTGGGCAGGGCACAAGTATAAGATGCACCGCTCACTTCTTGACGCCCTCCATCACTTCTGGCTTCTTGATGTGCAACTGTGCACTATCGTAATGCACCAGATCCACGCTGCCCTCTGCAGTCTCGGATAGCTTCCCGCTGACCATGGTGCGGAGGTTCGTCGCTATGACAAGCGAGTAGTGGCCCCTGACACATGTACGCACGTTGTACATTAGGGAACGCGTATCGACACTGACTGATGTGGAACCAGGCAACTAACAACAGCATGAGCATCAAGAGGGCGACGACTTACTCGTAGTACACTGGGATGGCGAGGTAGTCCTATGCGAAAATACACGGTGCATGTCCAAGTGGCCATGCCCGGTTCAGGGATTTCGCGAACGTAAACGCCTTCGTGTCCAGAGCGAACCATGTTTTGCCTCCTTCCAGCTTCGGATACCTTATGTTCAACAGTCTGGGACACACATATGCACGATATCGTTCGTCAGCACGTATACGAAGAAAGGACATACAGCATGTATAAGGCACACACATTCCATGTGCTTACATGTTGTGGAAGTCCACCACTGTGTCCGCCAGACACTGTCCGTCGACGAGCATCAGGACGTCCTGTGCTGGCAGCTGACACCCCACTCCATGGGGACCGTACAGCGCCAACGGCTGGAAATCACGCTGATAGCTGGGCCTTTTAAAACGGGCAATCACATCGTCACTTGGCGGAGGCGGCACCTCTCCTGCGCCCCTCACACCGCTGCCCGCCGATGTCACTGCACGAGGGCGGGGCAACTCCTGCTTCACCTTGCGCTTACGGCGATCCTGCTTCGTAGACAGAGAGGTCAGGGCACTGGCCGCGCAGGACACGTTGTCCCGCTGCACCAGCATGCGTTGGATGTTCATGGTGGGCACTTAGTAGACTCGGATGCGTACTGTGGTGGTAGCCGGGATAGATGTACAGGGAGTCTAGCGTCCAAAACCTAGCCTGCTGTAATGGCCGCTCATCGGACGAATATATTAGGCAGATCACATTGAAGCTTTGCGGAGTCGGTTGTTGTTCGGAAACCTACAGCCTGGAACAAGGAACCCCAGGATAACCATAGCACACCAGATCCAGCTGCGTCGGAGTTGGCGCCGAACGGTGAACATGCATGACGGGCACACGTGTCATGATTACGCATCATGCATGAAGTCCTCGGTGGGAAATTGTGGTTTACCTTGCATGTGGCGGCGAGGTTGCAAGAGTGGTTTAGTGTACTACATACTCGCTAATGTTTGAGCATCATCAAACACGCAACATGAATCTTGTTACGAGATAAACTTTCAACAACTTGCCCCAATCGCGGGAAGCATGGACTACCACCACGTGGCGTTGGTTCGTTTCGCACATCCGCGGTGGCAATCAAACCCTATCTACACGCTCTCGTTTAACACTGTTTCGCATGAACATAAAAGACATTACATTCAATATCATAGTTGCGGTGATGCATATGACACCCCCTAGCACGTCACACTCCATTGGACGTCATAGACGGCCGTTGATACCCCTACCCCAAACTCTAAACCCCCCTTCACCATTACCCCGACATCAGCTGGCCTCAATCCATGGTCGCTGCACATCGGATAACGGTTACAGTTGAGGGACGGGGGCGCTTGGTTGGCGTCCGACGCAGACGACTGACGACCAGAGCGTTCGACGCGCCAAACCGCTCTGGCGCGTCCCGCACAATGCCGAGCTTTAGTGCCTGACGGACAAGGTATTCGATGACGACGCGCGCCACCCGCCTGCGACAACGATGGTCATGCAATAGCGGCCCTGGCTGCGTGTGCAGTGCTATCTCGCGGCCGTCCTCGGCGCCTGGGCTGTCGTTCATGGTGCGCTGTACGCGTGGCGGGAGAAGGGTCAGCTCGCAGTGCGCATAATCCATGGCATGCATGAGCGTGTGGCCAGGCCGTGCTAACTCGTCTATGATGTACTGCAGCTGTCCCAGTTCCTGAACAAGAGGTTCAGACAGGACACAAAGAACGGGGTTTTTGAACTCTCGCACACACGAGCGCCATGATGCCGGCACACAGCCGGCGCGCCACCAGCTGAGATGGACTGAAACCGGAGTCAAGTCCCTCCACCTTGAACCCATCCAGTCCACCATGATGGACAGGGGAGGGGCGTATCGAAACAATGCCCCGTCGCGCCACTCTGGTGTCATCATCAAATGGCGAAGGTATGAGGCACGGTACAGCGTCTTCCACAGCTCTACCACCCCGCACACGCCGGGATGGATGCACCCAGGCGCTTTAGGACCCTGCATGTGAATGATTCGGAGGTTGATCAGGTTATGAATGCGGAAACCGTGCTCCATCGTTTCCATAGCAGATGGATCCGTTGACGAGTGGGCGTCCTGTGTCACAAGTACGATGACATGGTCGTTTGTAGAGTACGACCGCCCGTTCAACGCTTCAAGGTACTCGCTGAATATCTGACAAGCGGAACATGCGAGAATGGGGCAGACGTGTTAGCATATGGGATTGCACGATTATAACGCAAAGGCATTCCGCAAACTAGACCGGGAATGAGCAGAAGATCTCACACCTCGGGCGTGACGAACCCGTCCACGCTGTGCCGCACGAACACGGTAAAATCCTGGGGTGTTTCAAGGCCTTGAGCACGCACGTCATCCGCACGGAATATCAGGAAAGGCGGACACATGATTGTCCCCGTTGCATTGAAAAGGAAGCAGACATTGATGCGCCAGCCGGGCAGCGGATCATCGTGCCCATTCTCGGAGTGAAGGAAGGGGAGCCTGGTGGGCAAGAGAGGCTCCTCCACGAAGCAGTACATGTCGTCTGGATGAGCCTTTATCTGAGCCAGTAGCATGGCCATTTCAGCCATGGTTGAGCGCTAGAGTACACCAACTGGCGCAGTGCCGCGAATATAAGCTCTAATAGCTTACTCTGGGAGGACGCTGGAATGACTGAGAGCGTCATTGTACACGCGGACATTATCCGCCACGTAAGTACATCCTGCGGCACTCCTGTCCACATATGTTAGAGGTGTAGACACATGTAGTAACGTCATTCGGACGATGTGCGCCACCAAACATCCGCACATCGACGATAACGTGTGAGATCAGTGGCGAGGATGGCGCCAGTGTACAGTGGATTGTTGGGGTTTCGTTTGGGTGCGGTCATGTTGGATAGGTTGTGCTGTTCCTTGAGCACTTGACAGGGCGATGATCTGATGGGTTAGAGCTTTCGGTGTGAATGGCCAATTCAACCGTCGGAAACCGATGATATCTCATGCTTTACGTGTTTCATGCAATGGTACAAAAAACGGGTACACATTTGCCGTTCTACATCGTGAACAAGGTCGATATCACCGATTCGGGTGGTCGTACCACGTCAGAGGGGGTTGCTGGTATATTTGAGTGTCTGTACGCGTGGCACAGTTTATCGGTAATTTGCAATTAGGGTTCGCGCCACCTCTTGCCGATGCTGGGTAACGCATGCGAGGCATGCGGCTTGGAGCACGTATACGACAACACGCTCCAGTCACATGTGTCTAAGAATGTCAAGTGCAGGAGGAAGATACAGCACTCGCGTGCCCAGCGGCTGGTGGAGGCGTATCGGGACGCGCTGCGCGCCAGGCGCGGAGCAAGGCCCCGTTCACCCGTGCGTTCTCACCGCAGCTATGAAGGCGACGCTGCTGAGATGGCCGCTGTGGAACCGGCTGCAGTTACCGATCAACCCGACACTCCCGAAGCCGTAGAGGAGGATAGCGACGGGGATGAGAGTGTTATGTCAGTGATTGACGACGGCTTCAACACTCTCATAGAGCTGTACATCTTCTTCCGCGAGGCAGATCTGTCTAGAAGGGAGGTGAACAGACTGCTTAACATATTTCAGAACCCTAATTTCTCGCTGAGGGACGTGAGGCGGTGGCTCAATTTCTTGGACGTGAGACGCTTTGGGCGCGACAAGGCGCCGCGGGATCATGTCCCATGGAAGACGAAGGACATCAAGTGCTACGGCCCCAGGGGCAGGATGTGTACGCTACTGCTGCACTACCGGGATACTGAGCTGGTGAGTGCATGGGTACATGCATGGAATTTGGGCGACTGCCAGATCGTTTTGTGGATGGGGGAAATGGGCATACCGATGACCACTCGTGGGCATGCGTGTGGCAGCTGGTGAAGAAACTGCTACGCGCATTCCAGCACATCGCGGGATTTGTGACAAAGCCTCGTGCGGACGAGGAAGACACCGAGGAAGTGCGGCATTATAGCACTCCCGACACGGGGAAGTGCTGGAAGAAGCACAGGTACGTCATCCTAATCGTATGGGTGGAGTGTGATGGGCAGCTCGAGCGTCACTGACGGTTGGGTCCAGCGTGTGTGCAGGCCGCGATCGGAGAGGAGGACTGCATTGTGCTGGGTGTGATTGTGTACAGCGACAGCACGTACGCCTCGAGGAATGGCAGACTGGCGGCATGGCCGGTGCTGATCAGCTTGTTCAACATCCCAGAAGCGCTCCGCTGGCAGGAGCCGGGCCACGTACTGGCTGGTGTGCTGCCGTTCCCGCCTGAGTGGGCGTCATCCACCGAGAAGACGCGCATCTTCCAGCAGTGCATGGAGGTGATCTTCGAGCCTCTACTTCGCACGCACAGAGGGTGGGCGGGTGGAGAAGTGGAGCTAACGAGCCATGATATGACTTACAAGAATACATCTTCCCATGGTGCCGTGTGCAGGGCCGAGTTGCGATGGTTTTATGTGACGGACGCGACAGGCAAAGTGGTGAAGGCCTTTCCCTGTCTTTTCGGGCAGCTGGGGGACTTCCCAGAGTCGTCCCGGTCTACAGCGACTCTGCAGCAAGGGTCGCATCGGCTGTGCTCTTCGTGCTACATGAAGGAGACACATCTGGCAGACCTGTCACATAAGTCGGTGACGCGGACGGTCGAGCTGCAGAGACGGGTGGTGGACGCAATTCAGTCGGCGTCCGACAGCAAGGCGGCAGAGAAAATCAAGAAACGATGGTCAACACACCCTGTGCAGGTGAGGATTACCAGTGCATAATGTGCTCGAGCTAACCCATGGGAATGTGCACACGTGGGGGTGACGCAGGGCCCGGTCACATGCGTGTTGTCTTTGCGTGTGGCAGTGCTACTTGGAAAGATGGAACTTTGCCGAGACCACGTGGGGAAACGTGTTTCTCGCATGCGCGGCAAACCTTCTACACGTCCTGGACGGGGGGATGCTCCCGCGCATGGGCAAGTGCTTCATGGTTGGGAAGAGCAAGCCGGAGAGGCGCGAGTTTGAGAGGTGGGTATGCACCTGAATGGCGACACCGTTGTTGGCTTGGCGAGTGCGTTGCTGGCACTATTTCCCTCCCATGGGGCAGACGGCGCAAGGAGCAAAAGAAGGACACGCGCGCAAGCGTAGTGCGCATCCCGGGGGGGACCACGTGGTTCAGCACAGGGGAATGATGCAGGTGATGCCCATGCTTATCGCGGACAACATGGAGAAGAGCAAGCAGCCGGCTAAGGCGAAGCGGGAGCGGGAGGTGGCGGCGTTTGTGGCGTACGCCAGCTTCTACAAGGCACTGGTAGGCGTGACAAAGCATACCGAGAAGTCTCTGGACGACGTCCGGGAGTTGGCTGTGTAGTACGTACATTCCGGTTGTTCGCATTAGATGTGTTGCGCATCGAGTGTGCTGTCCAGCCTAAGCATGACTCCTATGCGCACACGCAGGATGGTGGCGGCCATCAAGGCCGCATTCCCTGACCAGACGTCGGACTGGAACATCCCTAAGGTGCACCAGATTGTGCACCTCATTGACGGCATACCACTGCGTGGGATGCCGAACGAGACATCCACCAACTTGTGGGAGCACACGCACAAGGGCACCGTGAAGGTGCCGGTCCGTGGCAGCAACTGGCACGACATCCCGCGCCGAATTGTCGAGGAGGAGGTGCAGCGCAAGATTGCACGGGAGGTGGCGGCGGAAGCGGGTGGAAACAGGCAGTATGTGACGGCGATGCGCGAGGTTAGCGTATAGGGTTGTGTACCATGCTCGTGATGTGCTGTATAAGGAAGAGTGCCCTCGGACCCCGGATTCTCACACGTGGCGTGCATGTTGTTGCGTGCACACAGGCCGTGCGACGCCTGAAGCCAGTCCTGACGAAGACGTCAAGGAGGGCGAACGTGGACGAAGACCTGGACGCGGTGATGTGGGCGTATCGCGAAGCTCATGGTGGCGGCAGGCATCCCCACCACCACCATCGAGGTGGGGAATGTAGTTGGAGAAGGTGGCTGGGTGATGGTTAATGCACAGCGGTGATAGCAGGTGTGAAGGTTGGGCCACCGTATTGTGTCACCCTCACACCGCACCCACTATGCTCTGTCTATGTTGCCTAGCGTGCGCAGGTGCACACAGCCGTGGCGATCCCCCGAACGCGGGGGGGGGGGAGCTTGTGCCCAAGGGCACATTTGTGAAAGCCAGCCCCTCCGAGCGGTGGTTTTCAGACATCGCAGTGTACCGGTCTGAAAAAGAGGAGTGGTATGCCAGGTGCCTCTGCATCTTCCGCGCAGAGGGGGCAGACGGGGAGATGGGGCGACACGTGTACGTTAAGTACCACGAGGCGGAGGGCACGTGCCCAATGACGACATGCCTGCAGCTGTCTCCCGGCCGTGTGAGAACAAGATACGCGGTGGTTCCAGTGGAGTGCATCAAGAGGGTGGTGCACGTGTGCAAGTCCTATGTGAACAAGCGTGTCATGCTCCTGAACAAGTTCCTGCTGACGGAGTGAGGGTGGTAGGTTGTTATTGCCGTGACATGTGGGCCAAGTGAGGCCATGTGCGCTGATATGGACGCAATTGACGCTAATTCAGTAGACACATGAGGTGGCCCCTTAAATGCTTTTTATTTTTATTTTTTATGACCAGATGCGTCGTTTGGTTGGGTGGATGTTGCAGCCCGTTTAACAGAATCAGTAGTGTCCACCTGGTGTAGATGTTGGCACGTTGCTTGAAACGATATTTGTGTGTAGGGAGTGCATCTGGTGTAGAGCGGGAATGACGGAGATGCTTTCCCATTGTACGATGACGCGCGGGAGCCAAATGTGCGATTCGAGGGGTGGTGCGCCTCGCGTGGTGCGCCGCGATTTTCCCGGGTCCGTTTTGAGCCGGAGGGGGGGAGCCCTATAGTGACATTTGCGTCACATGTGTTTTGGGACGTTTTGGGTACTCGGTGGTGTTAAACTGTATTATGCTTGTAGGCTGTAGTGGGGTAGCCAATATGGGGTACAACCCCAACTAGGGTTTCATATTTGTACCCAAACTTCTGCTAGTTCATTCATTCTTGCCTAGTTACTTTGAGATGGTATTCAGAGCAGGAGGTCCCTAGGACCTACCGACCGTTTTTTTTTTTAAGGGCCCACCACCGCTCGCATGCGGTTACCACGCTACCCCGTGCCCTAGCCTCGTAGCGCCCTCGTGCGCCCTCGTTAGCGCCCTCGCGCGCCCCTCGTTAGCGCCCTCGCGCGCCCCTCGTTAGCGCCCTCGCGCACCCTCGTTAGCGCCCTCACGCGCCCCTCGTTAGCGCCCTCGCGCGCCCCTTGCTAGCGCCCTCGCGCGCCCCTCGCTAGCGCCCTCGCGCGCCCCTCGCAGAGTCGCCCGCCCGCCGCGCTGCCTGCTCGCAGCGTCGCCCGCTCGCCCCGCTGCCCGCTTCGCAGCCCGCTCGCCCCGCTGCCCGCTTCGCGGCCCGCCCGCCCGCTCGCTGCTCGCTTCGCGGCCCGCCCGCTTCGCAGCCCGCTCGCTCGCTGCCCGCTTCGCGGCCCGCCCGCCCGCTCGCTGCCCGCTTCGCGGCCCGCCCGCTTCGCTGCCCGCTCGCAGCGCCGCCCGCCCGCCCGCTACCTGCTTCGCAGCGTCGCCCGCCCGCCCGCTGCCCGCTTCGCAGCGTCGCCCGCTCGCTCGCTGCCCGCTCGCAGCGTCGCCCGCCCGCCTGCTGCCCGCTCGCAACGTCGCCCTCCCGCCTCGCTGCCCGCTTGCAGCGTCGCCCGCCCGCCCGCTGCCCGCTTGCAGCGTCGCCCGCCCGCCCGCTGCCCGCTTCGCAGCCGCCCGCCGCGCTGCCCGCTCGCCGCGTCGCCCGCCCGTCCCGCTGCCCGCTTCGCAGCCCGCCCGCCACAATTCCCGCCTGCAGCGCCGCCCGCCTCGCCTGCTGCTCCCTGACTGTGCACCGCCGCTTGCTCCTGCTGTGGCTGCTAGCTTCGCTCTAGCGCGTCCCCTCTGCTGCTGCCGCTGCTCTGCTGTGCCCTCACGCCTGAGCTATGGCCTCTATTCGCGTTCTTTCCTTCGATGCTGAGGGCCGTCCCGTGCAGTTCACTTCCTGGCTCGATGACCTGCAGTTGTATCTTATGAGCAATAGCACGGACCACATCTCCCTCTATGACTACGCGTCTGGTGCTGCCGCTGCTCCTGCTGCCACAGCCGAGCTTAGTGTACGTTCACAGTGGCAGACTCGTGACGCTGCAGCTCGCCTGGCTATTCGCAGTCACCTGCCGTTAGCTGAGCTAGAGCACTTTGGCGACTGCAAAACCGCTAAGGCCCTATATGACGCTGTCGTTGCTCGCTACTCCTCACCTGCCACAGCCGAGCTTAGCCGTCTCATGCTGCCTTACCTGTTCCCTGACCTGTCCACCTTTGCTACAGTCGCCGATCTTATCACCCACCTTCGCACTAGTGATGCTCGCCTGCGTGCCGCCCTTCCCACCGAGTTCTGCGCTAAGAACCCCCCTCCCCTGTACTGGACACTCCACTTCATAGTCACCCGTCTCCCTGACACCCTCAGCTCAGTGCGCGACTATTTCCTTGCTCGCTGTCCCACTGAGCTCACTGTCGCCCTCCTAGAGGAGAAGCTGCTAGCAGCCGAGAAGAGCATTGTGGCTGTTGGTGCTGCTCGCGGCGCTCCTCGCACCCCCATCTTTGAGGGGTGCTCTCCCTCTCCCCTCGCTCCCTCCTATGCTACTGCTGCTGCTGTTGACTTCCTTGGTGCTGAGTCTGCTGGCGCTGCTTCTGCTCCTGGTGGGAGGCGCCGCACCGGCAAGGGCAAGGGGGGCAAGGGTGGCGGGGGTGGCGCTGGGGGGGGAGGGGGTGGGGGAGGGGGGGGGGGGGGGGGGGGGGGGAGGCGGTGCTGGAGGGAGCGGTGGCGGGAGTGCCGGTGGGAGTGGGGCCGGCGGCGGAGGCGGGGGCGGCGGCGGGAGCAGTGGCGGTGGTGGCAGCGGCGGCGGTGGCGGCGGTGGCGGTAGTGGCGGTGGCGGTGGCGGTGGTGGCGGTCGGAGCGGAGGTAGTGGCGGCGGTGGAGGTCGGAGTGGAGGCACCGGCTCGGGCCAGAGCTCCCAGCAGCAGCAGCGTCCCCAGTCGACCCAGCAGCTTCGTGAGTGGCTTGCTCAGCGTGGGACGTCGGGGGGCAGTGGCCGCTGTTCCTATGTCATTCGCACAGGTGATCGCAAGGGGCAGACGTGTGGAAAGTTCCACACTCAGTACCGCTGCTTCTTCCGCCTTGACGACGCTTGGCGTGAGGAGATGGGCGAGGATGTTGAGCGCCCTCGCTGGGCTGAGCTGATGAGGGCTGGTGTTGATATCTTTGCTCTTGACTATGATGCTATTATTGCTGCCATGTATGCATTGACTGTTAGTGCCGAGGGAGACTGTTACTTGTGTGTGCCGCCTGACCCAGGTATAGATGTCAGAATGTTATTCTCTAGCCTGTAGTGGGGTGCTCTATAGCGAGTACAACCCATCTAGGGTTTGCTATATGTATCCTCATTGCTGCTAGTGAACCTCCTCTTTTGCCTTCATTCTCTCTTGCCTAGCTAGGTCAACCCTAGCTATGGCTCCTCAGTATACCTACTATTATGACATGGTATCAGAGCGTTCACGCTCCTGGCCTGTGGGCCCCACTGCTGCTTCCGCTGCCCTACTCAGTGTCGCGCGCCCCGTGGCGCGCGACCTTCACATTTTCATCCCGCCGCGCGCTCGGGGCGTGCGGCGGTTTTCTCCCCGCCGTGCGCACCGAGGCGCACGGCGGTTTCCTACCGTGGGGGACGCCCGCGGCCCCCCGATCCCGTCGCCCGCGGCCCTCCGGTCCCGTCGCCCGCGGCCCCGCGATCCCGTCGCCCTGGGGAGCCGCACGCGACCCCCCGCGGCCCCGTTTTCCCGTCGTGCCGCCCTGGGGAGCCGCGCGCGACCCCCCGCGGCCCCGATTTCCCGTCGTGCCGCCCTGGGGAGCCGCGCGCGACCCCCCGCGGCCCCGATTTCCCGTCGTGCCGCCCTGGGGAGCCGCGCGCGACCCCCCGCGGCCCCGATTTCCCGTCGTGCCGCCCTGGGGAGCCGCGCGCGACCCCCCCGCGGCCCCGATTTCCCGTCGCGCCGCCCTGGGGAGCCGCGCGCGGCCCCTCTCTGCCCCGTGGTCGCGTTCTGGGGGCCGAGCGCCGTCCCCCTCGCCGTCCCCCGCGCTCCTTCCCCCGTTCCGCCCGTTTTTAGGGTTTTGGGGTGCGGAGTGTGGGGGTGGCAGCTCTGGGGGTGCCGTGTGTGTGCGCCGTCCCCTGCTCCTCCTCCTCCTCCGTCTCCCACTGCTGCAGCTGCCGCTGAGGGGGGTGGATGTGTGGGAGCCGAGGTTTAGGGTTTAAGGGGGGTGCCGTGGAAGTGGAGCTAGGGTGTCAGCAGGGGGTGTGTGAGAGGGGCGTGGGACGGTCGGGGGAGGTTGAGCGGAGGCTGCCGTCTTGTCGTCAGCAGCACCTGTAGTCCGGGGCGCTGTTCCGGTAGCCCAGTCGTAGCCAGCTGCGCCAGTCGCCCGTGGGTCCGTTGCTCGTCTGCCGCTCTTCTTAGCCGCGGAGCCAGTTACTCCTGTAGTCCGGGGCGCTGTTCCGGTAGCCACTGTGCCAGTTTGACTCCTGTTGCCCGTGTGTCTGCAGCTTCAGCCGTCGCCTCTCATCTTCTCTCCTTCCACAGTTCCTCCTCCTCCTCACTTGCCCTTTGTGAATGCCTCTAGCTTTGCTTGCACTTGTGAACCTGCTTTCTACCTGCTTGCTCATTGTACTGATTACACCCCACTTTGGCTATGGGGGTGTGTCAGAATGTTATTCTCTAGCCTGTAGTGGGGTGCTCTATAGCGAGTACAACCCATCTAGGGTTTGCTATATGTATCCTCATTGCTGCGAGTGAACCTCCTCTTTTGCCTTCATTCTCTCTTGCCTAGCTAGGTCAACCCTAGCTATGGCTCCTCAGTATACCTACTATTATGACAATAGAGCCCGCTGCCCTAGGTGCTAGTGAGTCTGCTCTCTCTGGTATGGTGCCCCCTGTACCTGCTCCCTCCAGTGCTGTCCCGGCTGTTTGCGAGTCTGCTCTCTCAGGTACAGCACCCACAGAGACTGCTCTCTCAGGTACCGCACCGGCTGAGGCCTGTCACACCTTCACCCTTGACTCAGGTGCTTCCCGCTGTTTCTTTCGTGACAGTACTGAGCTCACACCGCTTCCTGCACCGGTCCCAGTCTCCTTGGCTGACCCCTCTGGGGGCCCAGTCCTTGCCCAGTCCACCACTGTGCTCCCTTGTCCGGCGGTTCCGTCTGGCTCGTTGACGGGTTTCCACCTCCCCTCGTTCTCGACGAACCTGGTGAGCAACGCTGTCATCCAGGATCAGTGGGTTGACACCTTTACCCCTGGAGGACAGCGTGTGGCGATCTGCACGTGCTCCAGGACCGGCCGTCACCTGGCTACGTTTACCCGTCGGCCGGGGTCGAGTCTCTACACACTGACCACTGCGTCTCCTCAGGTCGCTGCTGTCGGTCAGGTGTCTGCGTCAGGTCTGGTAGCCCACGCCTGTGAGTGTCGTTCCCTGTCGCACCAGACTCTTCTCTGGCACCACCGCCTGGGTCACCCCTCCTTGCCACGCCTTCGTGGCATGCACCGTCGCCACCTTGTGTCTGGTCTTCCCAGGTCCCTCCCTCCCCTCCCTGCCTCGCCTGCGCCGCCTTGCCTTCCTTGTGTCGAGGGGCGGCAGCGCGCCGCTCCTCACTCCTCCTCGTTCCCCCCGACAGAGGCTCCTCTGCAGACCCTCCACCTGGACGTGTGGGGCCCAGCCCGCGTTCGTGGTCAGGGCGGTGAGCGGTACTTTTTGCTGGTTGTCGACGACTACTCGCGTTACACCACGGTCTTCCCCTTGCGCACCAAGGGTGAGGTCCCTGCTGTTCTGATCCCTTGGATCCGCACAGTTCGTCTCCAGCTCCGCCGCCGTTTCCGGACGGATCTTCCTGTCCTGCGTCTGCACTCTGACAGAGGTGGTGAGTTCTCCTCCGATCTCTTGAGGACCTTCTGTCAGGCGGAGGGCATTGAGCAGACCTTCACGCTTCCGGACTCCCCACAGCAGAATGGGGTTGCTGAGCGCCGCATTGGCCTGGTCATGGAGGTCGCTCGTACCTCCTTGGTCCACGCGGCGGCTCCCCATTTTCTGTGGCCGTTTGCTGTCCGGTACGCAGCGCATCAGCTCAACCTCTGGCCCCGTGTCTCCTTGCCGGAGACCTCGCCCACACTGCGTTGGACGGGGGAGGTTGGCGATGCGTCGCGCTTCCGGGTGTGGGGTGCTCGTGCCCTTGTCCGCGATACGTCCGCGGACAAGCTCTCCTCCCGCACGCTTCCCTGTGTCTTCCTTGGCTTTGTCCCTGACGCGCCTGGCTGGCAGTTTTACCACCCCACCTCGCGCCGGGTCTTCGCCTCTCAGGATGTCACCTTTGACGAGTCGGTCCCTTTTTACCGTCTCTTCCCCTACCGCACTGCCCCCCTCCCTCCCCCACCGCTTTTCCTTGCTCCTGGCCCCCCTCCGGTAGACCCCCTTCCCCCTCAGGGTCCTGCTCCTTCAGGTGTCTCTCAGGTAGACCCTCCTCCCGTCGCTGAGCCTGTCGAGGTCACAGGTGACTCAGGTGCTGCTGCGGGTGGTGCTGCTGGGAGTGCTGAGCCTGGGGGTGCTGAGCCTGGGGGTGCTGGGCCTGGGGGTGCTGGGGCTGCGGGTGCTGGGACTGAGGGTGCTGGAGCTGAGGGTACGGTGCCTGAGAGTACGGAGCCTGGGGGTGCTGAGCCTGGGGGTGCTGAGCCTGCGGGTGCGGGGCCTGGGAGTGCTGGGACTGCGGGTGCTGGAGCTGAGGGTACTGTGCCTGAGAGTTTGCCGCCTGGGGGTGCTGAGCCTGGGGGTGCTGCGACTGAGGGTGCTGAGCCTGCGTGTGCGGAGTCTGGGGGTGCTGAGTCTGGGGGTGCTGAGCCTGCGGGTACTGAGCCTGGGGGTGCTGCTGCTGAGCCTACGGAGCCTCGGGTTGCTGCGTCTGGGGGTGCTCCGGTTCGGGGTGCTGAGCAGTCTCTCACACCGCAGCAGCTTCGTGACTGGTACGTCCGGCGCTTCCGCCGTCCTCGTGGCTCGGCTGGAGTTTGGGGTGCTGGAGCTGCTCGTCCTGGGGGTACTGGAGCTGCCGGGACTGGTTGTTCTGGGAGCACTACGACTGGAGCTGCTGGAGCTGGGGACTCTGGCGCTGGCGGTGCTAGCGGAGTTGGAGCTGCCGCCTCTGGGGGTACTCTTCCTAGCGGTGCTGCGGACCCTGGGGGTGGCGCTGCTGCTGGTGCTGCGGACCCACCTGGTGGAGCTGCTGCTGGAGCTGAGGACCCGAGCGGTGGCGCTGCTGCTGGTGCTGGGGACCCGGACGTTGGAGCTCCTGCTGGTACTGAGGACCCGGCCGCTGGAGTCTCTTCTGCTTCTGGAGACGCTGCGCAGCCGCGACCGTACTTCGTACCGCTCCTTCAGCAGGTTCTTGGGCAGGCTCCTCCTCCTTGTCCTCCTCCCTCCGTCGAGTGTCCTCCGCCTGTCCAGCCGCAGTCACAGTTACCGCCTACCTCGCCTCTCCCTGCTCCCTCTCCTTACACTGGTCCCACAGGAGGTCTTGCAGAGCGTCGTGAGCCTGAGTCTCGTCCTGCGTCGCCTGTCCGTACTGCTCGCACTGGTCGTCGTGTCCGTCGTGAGCGTCCTCCTCCTGTCCCAGGCACTCACTACATGACTCTGCGTCCCTCTACTGCTCCTCAGCGTGTCCCTCTGCCGTCTCCTCCTGCGTCCTCTTTGCCTGCCATTCCGGACCCTGAGTCTGACCGGTATCGTGCTGAGCACCCTACTGTCACGCGTCTCCTAGCTACTGTTGTCACTGACCCTACCTTTGAGTCCTCGGCTGCGTCTGCTCTGGTCGCTGAGTTGGTTGACTTTGCTGCTGCCTGTCGTCTAGACTACGCTGCTCGCCTTGTTGCTGGGTCTGAGTCTGCGTCTGTCTGTCCTCCGTCCGTCGGGGGTGAGTGTGCTCTTGGCACGGACGTCCTTGAGGACAGGCAGGAGGACTTTGACTCTCTCGCGGCTGCTGTACCTCATCTCGTGGCCTCGTTGCTTGCCCCTGAGGGAGACCCGGATGCACTAGACATCCCCACTCCGCGCACTTACGCAGAGGCGATCTCGGGTCCCTACTCCTCTCAGTGGCAGACAGCCATGGACGCAGAGATGGCATCCTGGAAGTCCACAGGCACCTACGTCGACGAGGTTCCCCCTCCTGGGGCGAACATCGTCGATGGCATGTGGATTTTCAGGGTGAAGCGGCCGCCAGGTTCTCCGCCTGTCTTCAAGGCTCGTTACGTTGCTAGAGGCTTCAGTCAGCGTCAGGGGGTCGACTTCTTCCAGACCTTCTCCCCCACCCCGAAGATGACCACTCTTCGGGTTCTGCTGCACGTTGCTGCTCAGCGTGACTACGAGCTTCACTCTCTTGACTTCAGCACAGCGTTCCTGCAGGGCAGCCTGC